GAACAGTTCTGTTACGCTATAAATTGTAGGTTTTTCTGAATGAACTGCCTTTCTCTTTCCCAGAGTTATAAAGTTGAAAAGTGTCCTAAATAAAATAAAAATTATTGGCTTGAGAGAATTATGAGATTTTGAAGTTTATAATTTCAACGCATACTTTCTAAGAGTTCGGATCCTTGTCGTGGTTTGGAGGTTCTGTCTGCTACGAGAAACCATCTAACAACGAATTCCGCGAAGATGGCGAATATTTTTTTAAAGAAGTACAGACAGAGTCTGTCTTTGAAAATAATGAAATGTTTCATAAAGCAAGAGAGATAGAGAGTGTAGTAGATGAGTCCACAAGTATTAGTGTAGCTCTAAAGAAGAAAATATTAAATGCACAAGAGTTGCTTTTTGGTTTAATTGTATACTAAGCATTGTAAAATAGCTCGTTGATGGGCAGATTGAAAGAGAGAAATGAAGTTTCAAAGTCTCAGCAAAAAGTTGTACCTACATATATTGATATTGTAAAAGAACAAGGAATTGTAGAGGGGAAAAAACTGTTCAAAAGTAGGACATGGTGAAAAAGAATTAAGAACATGTCGTTTTGATTTATCCGAAGAAAAGTGACAGATCTCCTGAAGAGATAAAATTGTGGAAGTTATAGATCCTGTTAAATTAAAAATTGGAATTCGGAATGTCTGAAAAGTTAACAATGGTGGTCTTTTTGTGGAACAAGAATGATACTGACAGTCAAGTAAGAATGATATTTCTAGTCAAGGAGAATCCATTACTGGAAGACTGTAATTATACTTGTAAGAAGAAACCAAAGATAATATTTTAAGATACAGATAGTGATATGAAATCAGATTAGATCACGAAGACCTTAGTTTGGCAAAATGAGATTTTAAAGATGGGATATTTATCTGTTATTTTCAATAAAAGGTAAAAATAGCACATTGCATTGGGTTGCTCAAGTTCAACTAGAAAAGTTTGTCCGTTCCTGCGTCTGGAAAGATCCATTTAAGATGGTTTCGAATAATAGTAAAAGAATGCCTAAATGCAACCAGATGTTTTACGTGTCAAAGTTTTGGACATTTTCAGCTACATTGTGATACAAACAGGTGCTCAGTTCGCAGGATCGGGGCATAATCATAAGAATTATTCTAAAAATTCCGAATGTATTAATTGTAAAGAGGCAAATTTGAAGTGTAAGATGAAACTTGGAGTGAATCATTCTAGTTTAGATTCCAAATACGCATGTTTAAAGAGACAATTGGAACTGTTAGTTTGTAGAACCGATTATGGTTCGTAAATAAAATTGTCTTTACATATGATGAAATTCAACTAATTGTGAGTCTAGGCAGGCTCTGAAAGTGAAATTTAATTTAAATTATTAGTCTATTTAATGGGTTAAATAAATAAATTTGACACACAAGTTGTATGAAAATGAAAAGATACTCTATATACGGAGTGAAATATATTTAATAATGTTTCTCGAAGCATGATTATGGGAGCGAGTTGTTCTCACGATATTCATATGTTACATTATGTGTAAGTTATATTGAGTAATTATATTGTATTTCTAATTTATACTGATTGCTGTCTATAATAATTTAAGTATAAGTTGCTTGTATGCCTGGTTGTACACTTTGTTTATTACTAAATATGTTTATTGGCGGCTCCAAGGGGGTTTTCAGTCGTTTAAGGAGAGTCTGAGGTATGATGGTTGTATTTTAACTTAATTAATTAGTATATTTGAAAATGTCTTGCATATGCCTCAGTGGACACACAGCTTATCCCAGTGTTACCAGTCTTACACCTACCTACTTCTAGGTTATTTATTTCCTCTAAAACATTTAAATGCTTTTCAATATGTAGTTTATTAAAATTCTCTGTTGTAAATTTATCTGAATGATCCTCAACGAGTTCATTTATCTCCATCTACTTCTAAACCCACCGCTTTAGCGAGGATCATTTCAAAAATTGGAATACTTTACTGAAAAAAAAAAAAAACGCGATCTCTAGGTTGAGGAAAAACGAATAACGTGCATTATTAACATTAACATATGAATTATCGATATTTTAATAATCATATAAAATGAAAATAATGTAATTTTTTAATTTTAAAACATAACTTAAATTTTACACCTCTGTTTCGGATTACAAGAATTAAAAGAATATTGTTTTTTTTTTTTAAAACCTATAAAGAGTATTTTATAAAAATGTTAGATAGGAAGACGTTTTGTTGTATCATAGTAATAACAGTATATTTGTAGTATACTATTTCAATCATGACATCCTTATAAAGTGAAATGGATGCAAGCATGGAAACCGTGTTCTCTACAAGTGTCTATAAAACTGTGGAGACTCCGACTCAAATCACTTTCATTCTGAGTGAATCACATTACTGGAAGCAACACGTCATAGGACCACTCTAGGATTCTGTCATTTGGGAAGGAGGGGTTGATGCAGAACAGGGTAAAATTGAAGGGGTGGGGCTCGATTTCCAATCTCAGCTGTCAAGATATTTTTTTTCCACCCCACTAGTTTTCACCCACTTCTTGATTTCGTTCCTGTGAAAAGAAATACTCCCTTTTGATGGATCTTGAAGCCTGTAAAATTTGGCACGTTCTGCTTTGTATTCTTGATGAAATTGCCATCCATACACGTAATAGAGTCGCACACAGCACTATTTCTGGGTAATGCGGTTATATTGCAGGGAAGAAGCACGAAGCATTCTTAAATAGCTAATAATTTATCTGTCTAAAGACAAGAAAGTGAGCATTAATCAGTTAAAAGATATGGAAATCTATTTGAAATTCAAGCACAGAACGAGTAATTATATAGAGCTTCCTTAAAGTGGCGTTAGAATGAAACTCGCTTTATAAATCGACAGCGTCGCAATGAAAGTGAAGAGTTTTGTAATGAAAGCAAAGATTCTTTACGAAGAATATGATAAACTGAGTACATTTATATGTAACAGGGGATTTTCAAACCATTTTATTCTTTTCAGTCAACAAAGCTTTAAAGGGCAAAGCAGAAAAATACAGAATGTTAAGACTAGATCCAGAAAATACATATAAATGATCATAGGTGAAAGAAAAGCGGGTCAATCTGAATCTCATGCAAAATTGAGCTGTAATTTAAAATTAGCTTTCTAAAACCCATTATATATTTCAAGAGATACCTATCAATATATGAAATACTTAGAACCAATTTTATCTTCATTCCACTGTACACAAAAACGCAAAGCATTGGTTCTGAAACAAACTTTCCTTGTAAAACAAGCGGTACTGATATTCGCAGTGGCATCATCAATACGCTACTATGATGTTCTTTTAAGGGACGGGGCATTCTGTTACTAGTTGCGAAAGAGTACAGAAGAAAATATTACTACATGAGGGGGTCAGCCGTGCAAGAGTGGATGGCGAAAGGCTATTTGCAAATTTGGATACCGAATTTACTTGAAGATTTGGATACGGAGAATCGTTAGTCTTGTTGTTCAATGGTCCTAATACCTTTTACGGTTGATTCCAACCATTTAGGATTTCAAATACCTTAGTGACGAAATTTTTTTCAATTGATTGAGTATGTTAATTCTTAAAACTCTTATGTCTAAAGCTATAAACATGGAATTTTAACTACTAAAGCATCAGAAATAGAAATTAGAAGCCTTCGCACGCATACATATATAACCGACTCCCATTTTATTGCGAACGGATTAAATGGACTGCAGATTAACCTGGTCTCGTGTAAAAAATGTTGAATTTGTTTATTGCGAAACGATAAAAAAAATACTAGCCCAGACTATTAAGAAAAAGCAAAATTTCGTACGAAAAAAGAGAAAAAAATGCTTGAGAAAACAGATAATGTCAGAATATTTACGAATTAGTTTTATCCCCAACAAGATTTAATTTAAATGTGCTTAATATGATGTTTATAAATATTTTTAAATCCTCCGTTAGAAATAAATTATTAATTCTTAAAAATAAATTTTGTTAAAATCATTATCTGTCTGTTAAAATCATTATCTGTTGACTCCAATCTAAATGCAAGAGAAATGTAAACAAAAACGTTGTTCATTCTGTTTTGAATGCCGATTTAATTTAATAATAACTAATTCAAACTCGTTAACTTCCAAATTAAACTGCTTAAAAATTAAGGTAAATTGTTAATAGCATTTTTGGTTATATAAAATAAGAGTTATTCCTCTTTGATGTGTTCTTTAACCGTTGTCGGATTAACCATAACTTTGTGTTAACTGTAGAACGTCTTCCCCGGTAATCAGGAGTCTACTGTACATGAAAAATTCTAAAAATGACAAATTAAATTCCAAAAATTAAATTAACAATGTAATTTAGTCTAAAAATAGGTACTCCTAAAATATATATGACTTCGAAGAGAACTTTTTACTTGCTACGAAACTGGTAATACCAATATCAACAACGAAGGAATGAAAATTTGCTACATGCTAAGCCATTTCACATAGGCATTTCCTATAAGTAAACACGCATTTAAGCAAGAGTCAGTTTTTGTTTTAAATTACACTCGTTCTAGCCATGTAACAACTGAAGAAAGCATTCTTCAGTTCCGTTGACGATGAATGGGGACTCCTGTTCTTTGCTAGTGATTAACAAGTATTGTTCCCCATTCATTGCAACAACGCACGAACCAAATGTAGTTGTTAGGTGCGAGATGCACATTGTATCCTTTGGAATCTTTCGAGAAGAAAATCATAAGAGGCGATTGAAGATCTGAAAGGCCAACAGCGTATCCTACGACCTTCTTGAAAGTTGCAACTGATTTAAAGATGATCCAATCAAACGAGTGCTACCCACAAATGCTTACTGAAAGTAATAATTTTACTTCGTCAAGTAACGCAACTATATTTGGGGACATAGTATTTCTTTTTTTTTTTCACTACCAACTGATATATGACAGAAATTTTTTATTGTAAAAAAAATAACAATTTACAAGTAAGAAAAATTTGTTATTTCTGTTTGAAATACTACAAGTTTTACCTTCTGGATGTTCCAGACTTGTTACGATCTTTGTTGTAAGCAGTATTGTCCAACGAGAAATCTTCTGCACAATAGCTGAGGTGCTTGGGAAATAAAGTATGCCTTTGGAAACGGTACACGTCACTATAGCTATTGCCATATACGAATGCACCTAGTAAACCAGTATGCGCGTGTAGATCCAAATACATATCCATTTCACTTTCCTGGAAAACATAAAGAATACAAAAAGTTATCAAGATGAAAAGGTTTGGGCTGCGTTAATAAGATTAAAATTTAACCTTCCTTCCCTTTTGTTTTGAGAAAGTCTTAAGCATTTGTTTAGAAAGAATTGAGATTATTAACTTCATAATTTAATTTATTTGTCTTCATTAAAGCGTATCATTTTTAAAAAAGTCATAATTTTTCGCTTTACGCTTTTAAGTCGTTGAGTTTGTTAATAAAATAGTTAAAATTTTACAAATTATGAAGTAGAAAATGAAATAAATTCCAAATTCCAAATTCGAGCTTTCAGTTCCCCATATTCAGGTGAAGAACTACGTTGCTCAAAATTTGATGGCTCTAATTACCGTCGTTTTTTCACACTGCGAGAAAACATACATTCATGCAGATTCTTCATTACTTAAATTCTTTAAATATAATACAGAGTTATAATATTTGGTGGCAAAAAGTTGAAAAGTGATACGCCGTTTATAAAGTGATTCAACGCAAAGTCCCGTTTCGAAGCCAATATCCATTCGGGACAAATGTCTCTTTTGGGCTAAAAATTAATCGCCACGCATTTTTCCGCAACGTTTTGAACACAGGAGTATTTTAATGTTTATTTTATTAAAAGCCTAGTGTTACCAGTATTTTTAGGAACGTTTAACTTACTTGTAATGTACAGATTCTAATTTTCAGCATGTTAGTGAAAATAATGAAAGCGCTTTATAAAATAATAAATTAATCATTTCCATGCATAACGTAACATACATTTGAGAGGTCTTCACAAAATATATATATAATTTTATTTATGAAGCTGTATAGAACGTGCTATATTTCAAAATCACATCAACCCTAATGATTGTTCCACTTTAATTATACACAAAGTCTTAAAATTACTTTTAATTATAACGCGCAAGGAAAGTAAATATTCAATCAAATTCACTGACGAATTCCTTTTCTTTAAAAATTAAGAATTTCGAACTTTATTAAGAATTTCAAAGGGGGAAAAGAGAACCATTTTTTCTGACGTATGGGAGAAAAACTTAATACATGCAAGCCTGAAGAAATTTTTTATGCTAATCATCAGCTTTGAATGTAAGAATTAAATATTCCTGTTGTAAGATAGAGTATGCGCGCGCAGGTAGTTCAATTCTTCAAGTACATAAAAGATACAAAATAGTTAAATTTGAACCAGTCTGCAAGCTCTCCTCAGTGAAGTGTTTTTCTTACATTTGTTATCTGTGCTTACTTTAACAGTGCAAAGGCGGCATGTTGCGAAGTGTCAATTGGTGGGATGAGGAAAAAATCCCTAAAATAATTGATGACCAGTATTTTGCTGTAGATTTAGACGTTGAAGATATCCGTCCAGAATACCGTAGTAAGGGTACTTTGATACGCCCAGTCACGCAAGAATACGAGGAGAAGTCCGGCATGTCCAGAATCGTAAATAATGATGATAAGTTCCAGATTATCTTGGATGTCGCGCCGTTCAAGCCTAATGAACTTCAGTTTAGAATTGATGATGAATTCATCGTAATTCACGGCAAACATGACGAAAGGGAAGACGAAAAAGGATCCATTGCCAGAGAGTTTACTCGCCTTTATATGTTACCTCGAAATTGTGATAGAGGCGATGTGGTAGATGCAAAGTTCATTTCGGAGACGCAATTGATGATTACTGCTCCGAAAACAACCTACAAGTCAAGTTGGAGGTTAATCAAATCTAGTTAACTTTTTTTTCACCAGGACTGTTAGTTCTGTAGATTTCTACGTTACTCGATCCAAGTTCTTTCAACTATAACAATTGTGTTGCGCATTGTTTCGCCAAGGTCATGATACATTGCTTGCTTATTTTGTGAGTTCTTTCACTTTACTTCAGTTATGTTAAATGTCTAACACTTGAACTGAATGTATTATAGCATCTGAATTTTTTGTATAAATATTTACTCAAAAGAAGCATGAAGTCGAAGTCGCTATTTATTCCTATTTGGTAAAATTGGCACTAAATAAAATAAGTAGAAACAAATATCGTTTTTATTGATAACGAATCAATTCAATAACAAATCTTGGTTTGAAAGATAATTACGAAATTATTTCTTGTTATAGTGTAATTCTTACTTTGAAAATGCCTTAACGTAAGAAATCTTAAAGAATGTAATAACGCTAAATATATTTAGATTAAGTGAATGCTTAGCAATGTTTTCTCTAAAGCTTACGTTCCGTAAAAATTTATTAGTCGTAAACTGTAAGGTATTTTCAGTTTCAATTAAGAAATGTTCATCCTACTAATTGAAGTTAATGTGAAGATGAGTCAGTGTAAGTGATATATTTGTTGTTAGTCTTGTAAGTAAGTGATTTTAATCACGCGTTTCTTTAAGCGAATTTAAAAATGGGGTTTACATGTATTCTATAATGAAATGTAACTAGGCTAAACTAAAATTCCTTTTACAGGAAGTTTAAAGTTAGTAAGCAAATATCTGCTCACGAATCTAGCCATAATTTTTAACTTACTTTTGGTACTGCTCAAATTTAAACGGGAAATTCTTATTGAATGTATAGCTACTTTAGAAATGTCTAAAATTCGCTAATTCTTTAACTTTTGGAAATATAAATGCTGTTCTCTACCAAACATAAAACTTAATTTTAACTGCTTGGTGAAGGTAAAAATATTTAGAGTTTTAAACGAGTAGGGAAACTACTTACTACGCATCAGATCTTGGTTTAAAGTATTTTGGGTCCACCAGTGGCCGAGCGTTAAATTTGCAGAATAATGATAGTCTGAGCCGAAGTTAGCATCCCGAGAACGGGCCGGCTACATGGGTGGTTTCGTAGTTTTCCCCGTGTGACGTATATACGAGCAATTTTTACTTGAAAAGTCCGCCTCGTAGGCATATTTCCTCTTGGGAAGGTAGCCCTCGAGTGATTTACCGTAATAAAATAATCCAACCAAAAGTGTAAAATATTCGATTCAACAGTTCAGAGTTTTGGACGTACATGTCTTAATTCTTTTGGAACAACTTGCAAAGAATTTTAAACTTTAGATTTTCGAATTTCAGTTATGCACCTTATTTCTCCTTGAACATTTGTTTAATCTGTCAAGCATATTTTGCTCCTTCTGTGGTAAGGGTTCTATGTTAAGCAATCAAATTTCAGCATAGCTGAAAGTTTCCTATCTTTAAGCAGATTTAATTCGCCAAATGCGCGATTCTTTTAAATAATTATCTTTTAAGCCTTTTAATGCTGATTAAAAGAAACCTAATAACCGTAAAATTACTTAAAATGTACATGAAATACAACTTCAATTAAAATCTTTTCTAATATGCAATGCTTAGAGTTGGAACAATTTTAAAGCCTAGAAAACTGCAACCCATCAGCGGCCGAGTCATAAAATCTCTGAACGCTGGCAGTTCAATCCTGGGTTCGATTTCGGACGAACGGCTAGCTGCATGGGCATTTTCGTGGTTTTCCACATGTGTGATGTGCACACAAGCCACTTTCCCTTAGGAAGCCCTCTACGAAGACATCTCTCCCCTTAGCCCTAGTCTGCTATAGCCAACCAAACTAGATGACTGCGAAAGGTAGGTGCATTTATTAGATTATAGGTATTTGAATGAATATTATTACCGGCACTGCGGATAAATTGCGAAAAGTGTGATTGAAAATTTTCTTAAGGTTGTTATGGGGGATAATATTTTTGTCTTAATATCAATTTTCTGAAAGTCCTGCAATGAGATTTATAACTGAAGAAACTGATATAATTATAAGGCATGTAGGGTGAGGATTATTAAAAAAATCTGATAAGAAGGTAAAATTATGCAGTAACCAAAGCTCACGAGTACATTAGAGCAGAAATTAGTGTACGTGCCGCTATATTTCTTCTGACAAGTCTGATTGGTTTTGATTTGATTGGTAGTTCTCGATGAAACATTCATAGTTTTGTGTTATACTACAGGTTTGATATTTTCGAAATCTTCTAAATAAAGCAGCCTTAAAATTTAAACATTTACCCACCCTTTAAATATAGGGTTGTAGTTTATGCAATATTTGATATAGTTCTTGATTACACCACTTAAAGCAGGTATAAATTTTCTGAAATTAAATTATATACAACTTTAAAAACTAAAGTACGCCAATAGACAGATTTAAGCTGAGCAAACATGTTACCTTGTATTGGTGTAGATTTTATAAATCTCTGTCCATTTTAAGAAGTTTAGACGCAAGTCCCTTTTCAGGAGTAATGTATAACGCAGATACCGAACAATTCTTTCAAAACATCCTCTATGTAGGTGTCCTTCCCTATAGGCCGATAACCTTGAGTTTCTTTGCCTTAACCAAGTAACCATTCACCCTATAAACCCTCTTCAGGAGAAACTTTCGCCAAATTATCCCAAATTCTATACAGTATATTCGGTATATAGTGGAAAGCTTAGTATCTCCGTACATATATTTACAATGTGTAACTTTTCGATAACTCTTTGAGACTAAATTGAAATTGAATTCTTTAGCATTAGAACCTTTATGTAAAATATACTAATGTAACTACGATATTTTGATTCAGTTCATCGTAATTCAATTATCTCTTCCGACCACAGGTTTAACAGGCTTTTTCGACCACAGGTGCAAAAACTTTATTTCTATGTATATACGTAAATTTAGATGTTTGAAGGTCTGCCAAAAGGTACAGCACCGCTCACATATTTTATTTCATAAGCATAATGTTTTCTTGTGTTCCTCAAATCTTACGAGCATCCATGCAGCTAGCCCTTTCACATAGATTCATACTTGGGTCGAATTATTAGTGTTTGGCGATCTCACCTCCACGACCACTGATGGCGCCTGATAGTTGAAAAGTTAAGTTATATTTTTCAGCATGGACTGGGTTGAGTTGAATATTTGTTTTACAGAAAAGCACTTTAAAACTATCCGCCCATAAGTACGATGCTGCCTTAGTGTAGGATGTTCTACGAGAAACTGACCCGTACGTAAAACTTCACTAAGAAAAACGAAAGTAAAATGTCAGCACTTTACTGGTAAAAGAGAGGAAAAACTTTCGCAATCAAACAGGCAGAAATTTAGTTCTGTAGTACGTTTGGATTTAAGGCAGAATGAATAAGTAGATTCTTCACGTAAAATTAGCTTATAATGTATGGAATGTAAATGACAGAAGTCGAGGTATTACAATTAGAATGAAGATGTACTTCTAACTGTAATAACTCTACTCCTGTCATTTAGTCAACAGTTGGAAGGAAGAGGTACTTAAAGCTTTTCCAGAAAATTAAGTTTATTGTTCTCTCGCTAAATTCAGATGATATTGTCGTTTATGTACCTATGTGGGGCGACTTTTGTGCATTTCTTAAGTGGTCTATATTAACGTTAAACATTGCCGCTTTTTGGCTGCATGACGTTTTAAGTCTTTAAATTTAAAATATTCAGTTTTTGCATAACGAATGATTTCACTCGTGAAAAATGTATGATAAAATATGCAACATGCAGAAAAGTATAGAACGCAGTGGTATTTTAGTGTTTGCGGTTTTTGAATTTTCCTGAGGTTTCAAAATGCAATTGCTTTAACCACAAAATAAATGATTTAAACCACAGGATTAAAGAAAGAAAACCAGACACAACAGAAGCTTTATGCTAATATTTAACACTTGATACATACTATGGAAAGCTAAATCACAATTTCTGAAATAAATGTTTTTAAGAAATGGGCCAAACTACAGGAAATTCTGGAAAACCTCTTGCTGTGGAAGCATATTTCTTACACTCGTCATGTTCGTTTGTTACGAACAGTACACATATCATGCGACAATCAGCAGGCTGACTGTTGTTTAAATGTACATAACAGATAAAATGAAGTAAAAGCAATATTGACGATAATACCATCAGCTGCATTTACATAATCAAATTGAATAATTACCGAGTTCACAACGAATGCTAATTTCAGCAATATTTTTGAATGCGTGTATATTTATTGTGACTTATGAGCCAAACAGTAAGAGCAGATAATGACCGAATTTTATTGAGGCCAAGAAGTACATGTTGCCCCTGTCCTTAGCTTAGGCTAGGACATCTTGCAGGTGACAGTACGACTTTGTCTCCATTCATCTCAGTTTTTGAGAATTCGTCGGCAGACGGGTCCGACGGTCTTCAGTTCTTCTCCGTTATGAGCCCCTCGAGAAGACTTTTGGCTTATAGCGTATTTTAAAGCCTTTACTCCACAAAAACACTATATACTTACAAACATCTTCGTCTTATGAGATTCAAATCTAGGTCCAAAGCCGAAAACCGTGAATTGGTTTTCGGCTTGGTTTATTTAATTATAAAAAGTCATGAGGGCTATGTGCCTAAGGGGAGCGATACCTTCATGGAGGATTTTACAAGAGAAACTGGCTCATATACATGTTATACATGGAGAAAACCACGAAAACGCCCGTGCAGCCAGTCCGTTCGCGAACCTCTGATCGAACTACCAATGTTCAGCGAGTTTACTGCTTGCAAAGGCTATGGAAATTGGCTGCCAGCATGCCAAACAGAAAAACTTATATCTTCATGTAAAACTGCGAATTAAAATGGATAGTTATTCGTCTTTTGTAATGTAACAAATATTGTTATCGCAAAAATTTTTCCCGAAATTAAATGACATGCTTAAGGAACTAATAAACACCATCATCATTAAGGCATAAAATCTTGATTAAAGTCATTAACCTCAAAGTATAAAGTGAGATTGAAATATTGGGCAATCATTTTCGGTTAAAATGTGATATCAGAAGTAATGAACGCTGGACTTTGTAGTAAAGCTTGACGGACAAATGAATTATCCTTAATGGATGGAATGGATTACGTTAAAGCACACTAAGTTGATGAGAGGAGAAAGATGTTTTTTTTTTAAGAGAAGAGATGTTTTTATGGAGGATGTTCTAAGAAAAACGATCACGTCTGTGATACTAAGGGGAAAAATTCCAGTCTGCTATATAGCCAACTCGCTTGCCAGGATTCGAACGTGGATCAAATTACC